CTTTCCTTTCTCCTTTCCTTTCTCCTTTCCTTTCTCCTTTCCTTTCCCCTTTCCTTTCTCCTTTCCTTTCTCCTTTCCTTTCTCCTTTCCTTTCCCCTTTCCTTTCTCCTTTCCTTTCTCCTGAAACTCACAAATGCGATTTAGGGGACAACAACTAGCATATTCACACCAGAACAGGGGATTGTATAATAAATTTTATATACCATCAAGAGTTTAAGTCTATATCTCTAATAGCAACGGACTGAAACTTAGAATGCCTTGGACCAAAAAAATATTGAAAGGGTCTCCAAATATGGCGATAATCATGCGCACTTAGAATGCCTCATAAAGTCCAGCTCGCAGGTTTGAATGTTTTAGCGATGGAGGCATTCTAAGTGAGGCCAAAAAAAAGGCATTCTAAGTGGCACCGTTAAAAAAATTGAGAAACATGGCGGCATTCTAAGTTTCAGTCCGTCACTATAAACAGTTTTTTTGGGAACTTGTTTGGCGATGGGATTAAATCAGCAAATATGCTGGCGTTGAGCAGCGATGGTGGGTTTCACCAACCCGATTTTTTTGGGTTCTAACCAGGAAAAAAATCTACACTCCGGTTTCATTGAAGCTAGCTGGAAAGTAAATACACTGTGCTGAGGATTCCGGCTATGGGTATGCTTTCTTTTCACACTTGAAGCCATCAAATACGAGGTGCTGCCCGTTATAAGTTGCTCTTATAACCCCGATAGACTAGTTCGATATACCTACCATATTCTACCATAGACCCATCAGCTATTGGAGATATTTTTGCTTTGGTCCATTTTGGGGCCGGCAGGATGGGCCTTGGGGCCCCAGGTCGTGAACGCTAAGTTGGTGAACTATAATAACAAGTTGGTGTATGATACTTATAACATCTTATAACTATATTTAGATGGGGTTATAAACCAACTTACAACCGGGGGAAAAATCCTGCAGGTTTGGATCGATCATCGTCCTCATGAAGAAGTTCTTTCCTGAAGCCCTACATTTGCCTCAGTAAGATCTGCTCTGACCGAAGCTTTCCGAGCCAGATCCCTTTTCCAGGGCTTCCCGACTCCGCCATGTGCATGATGGTTTAGTTGGGAACTCATTCCCGAAAAACATGGAGATCATGGAGTGGCTTCATCAGATTTCGGCATACCTCCATGATGATCCATGATGCCTTTCGTCTGTTGGTATAGTTGACCATCATGTGGCATTCTTGAACCCCAATCAAGGTTTTGACCCATACCAAAAAGTGGGGTTTGGCCACCATAGAAGGTCCTCCAATTTTGGCATCCTACTCAGTTTCCACAAGGAAAATCAATGAACAACATCCGCTGTACTACCAGGAAGGTGCCGGTATAGCCCTAGTTGCAGAGGCTTCACCATGGTTATTCGCAGACCCCAAATCAACCCCAAGTACCATGCAAAAGTCAGCCCGAATTAGATGGGTCTATCCAAACGTGTGGCACCCCGAAACAATCATTATTAATCACTGAATCACTTTCCAAGTGAGATTTCATGCGTTGTTTCCCTTCGCCCAGTTGTTTGGTAATCACTGAAAATCGGATCCCAAGTAAATCACCGTAGTTGATAAAGTACTTGATCAGTAGCTTTCTATGGCATCTCAGCCGCTGGTGTATACTTATACATAATGTATATATATATAATTATATATATTATATACATATAAAATATATACACAGAAATATGGAAGTAGATGATTCCGGAGAGAACCCCGTTTCGCTTGCGAAAATCTTGGAACTTGGCCCTTGAAGAGATCCGCTCGTTGCTGCGCGGCGAGCCATCCTTGAGATTGACGCTGGAGAAAAATCGCAAAGGGAGATGCGGTGGCTGGTTTGAAGCTAACATAGCTATCCATTTTTTTCCCAGGATATCACCATTTTACAGAAAACTAACCTGGAAAATACGTGTGTTTTACAAAAGTTTTTTAAAGGGACTTTATTTAGTTTACCAGAGTGTAATTCATGAATGATGATAGGTTCATGGTTGATTAGTGATTGTAATCCCTTCCCCCTAATATTAATTAAACACCCCCCAAAAAAAACCATAGTTTAGTAATTGGGGCCGTTTGGTGGTGCGGGATTTCGCAACCATCCACAGTATCTCCATACATATCTCCCAAGTAATTTAACATAGCTATTGAACATGGCCCATAGAAATAGTTGATTTACCGAACTTAAAGATCATGATTTTTCATTGTTTTTTGTATGTTAGAAGGTATCTCCCAACCTCTGTGGCAAGGCGGAGCTGCAGCACATGCGCATGGAGAACATGCGACTCCGCCTGCGCTTGGCTGAAGCCGGGATTCAGCCTCTTGGCGCGGCAAAGTGGCGATTGGTTTTAGCAGCCAAAATGGGGAGAAATGATGTTTTAAGCCTGCAAAATGGAATTTATGGTTGCTGATAGGGATTTGATCCATGATTTTAAACATATTTTCATTCCATTGATAGGGATTTGATCAGTCATTTCATGGAATAGCCATGGTACTCTAACGAGCAGACCAGCTGGATGTTATATAATTGGACGCTACCAACAAACATGCTGGCGATGGAGATAGGACGGAGATCTATTTTGGTCAACTTTGGATGGAGAGTTTAGTGCCAGCAAAAAAATCACATGATAGCCATATATCAGCTATATGTTGCTATTTGATGCATATAGCCTATATATAGCAAAATAGTTTAGTGCAACTTTTGATGGGGTACATGCTAGCCAACTATATCTATTTTTTTTTAAATCAGTGTACCTAAAGATTGGCCGTGGTTAGTCGCATCGTGAATCAGCAGAGTTTGCTCCCCCCCAGGAATGGTTTCTTTAAAGGACAGAAGAGGGATGCAACAGAAGTGGGGAGTGAACCAACATCAAGATGAGAAAACTTGATATTTCTTGACAAATTGCATAGATCAGCTGCAATTCACCCCTGTCCGCCTTTTTGTTCGACATGTCTTTTCCTTCTCCACCCCTCGACAAAAAAGACTTTCAAGAGAACGTCGAAAAGCGATCGCAGCGTTGCATGGCTGCTGCCATTTGGTTCAGTGAGAGGTGCGACGGCTCTGCCACATCACACGGCAAGGTTTTCTGACATCTCGTGACTCGTTTTCGCCATGCGTGAGGCCATCTGCATTCACATCGGTCAGGATTCTTGGCAATACAGCGGACCTCACAAGGAGTGATGTTTAATAAGGGGAATCATACCGCACATGGATAGAAATGGCTTTTTTCAGTTGAAGAACTTATTTATCCATGGCTTTTTGCAGAAAGGGTCCTGCGGATCTTTTTCGGATGGCGAACAGTTTGAAGTAGTGTTGCTGAACCATCTGGCTGACGACATCATTTATTTACCAGGACCATTTTTAAGGTTCCTCTTTTACGTGTGTATTCTGTTAACCGGATGGTTCACCGACGCTGGTAATGGAACATGATAAGTACAGTATGGACACTGACCCTTTTTAGATAAGATTCATTGTAGTTATCCCATACGTATCCATTATTATCCCACTATAATCCATTATGATCCTATCTTCTCGCGTTAATATCCTACTATATCCCATGAAATGGCATGGGGTTTACCACATTACTCAAACCATTTGTAACAAGTAAAGCACCAACTTTAGAGGTAATTCATCCATAGATGGTCCATTTTCCTTAGGTACTGTAGATGGACAAACCATAATCCGATAAAGATTACCCTGCGGTAAACTAACATAGCTATTGAATATGGCCCATTTATAGTTGATTTACCTATGAAAAATGGTGATTTTCCATAGTTTTTTGTATGTTTACCAGAGGCTACAGTGTTTCATAGTCCTGGTGCGGGATTTCATATGCCACCGGCGGACCAACAACTCTTGCTGGAGACGGACTGACTTTTGTTTGACGCGGCGAGAAGGGCGCGATGTTGTGACTTACATGACATAGACTGAATGCCTTTTTTAAATATGGAGATGACTCTGAGATGACATGGGGATTGTAAAAAATGTGATTTACAAGGATTTAATGTGAATATCACGTGGATTTAATGCGGACAATAAGGATTTTCTATTGGAAACCATGAATACCGAATACCGCTGTTGATTGTTTATGAAATAGACTCGACACACCTCACCATCACATACGGTTTTGGACCACAAGCAATTGAGATTAATTTTGGTTTGTTAGTTATAATAGTGGGTTATACTACCTGGTTTATTTAGGATAATTACAATAGGAATGACTATAAATCAACCAGTATTATGGGACGGGATAGAAGCATTTTGCATGGCCCACATGAAACTGGACTCGAGGATTGTTGTTTCCAACAGCGAAAAAATCTTCCATACCAAACCGAGTTTTCTTGGGATCAATGTTGTCTACTTGTTGTGTCAAACTTTCTGCCATGTTGCATCCTTTCTTCTCTGATTGTTTTCCATGTTTTTGTGAACTACTGGTTGCTCCCCTTTCTGATCTTCAATTTGCCCCTGCAACCAGTAAGTACTATACTTTTTTTGTTAGGGCAATCCACATCAACGTCGCATGAAAAGGCCAACCATCAAATGTCAAGATGACCACACAAAAAATACTAGATATGGCAAATTTTCGGAGAATCGATGCAATACATTGACGTTCTTGTGAATTCTTTATTCAACAGGCTTCGGGCGAAGGGGCTGCCCACACCGCGCAGTTCCCTCAGAATAGACCTGGGAGGGCGGGAAGGAAAAGGCTCCAGGTAAATCCTTTTCTTAAAGCCAACTCCGATGCACGGATCAGATATGTGAAGAACTGGTGGGCAAGGAAAGGGTTGCCAGTGCGAAGCATGTTCAAACAAACCCGGCGGCAACACACCCAAAAACTATGCTGGAACACCTTCATTTTGCTACCGTGCCGTTGCTGGCATGTTGTTTTTCCAAGTGGACACAGCCTTTGGCTCGGATGACCCCTTTGTAATTGCCGACGGCAACAGCGCATCGTTCCAGATGTCACAAGTGCTGTGCAAGGAACAAGACACGAGCACCGTAAGTTACCCTGTATCTTCTGTTTTTTATTTCAAACAACACCCACAACATAAATGGTGCATGTGCTAGCGATTGCGCACTTCGAAACGGAAAGCTCAATCATTGACACCTTTGTGGCACCTCAGCAAATAAGCGCATCTGTATATTCTGATGTATCTACTGACATGTCGCCTGGCATCGGGATAAGGAGGAAGCCCGGTGGGGCACATGCACGGTAGGAAGAGGAGGAGGAGGAGCTGACACACATAGACCCTGACCTGACAGGCTGGGAACAACAAAAATTGTCAAAGAGAGATAAAGTTTATTTTGCCATTCAACAAGACAAAAGGTCAGCGAAAGCATGTGCCAACGTTGACAAAAATCGAACATAGGCCTGGCATAGCCCAAAGCTTCGGAACCGACAAGCAAGAGAAATGCCCCCTCCACGTGGTTTAAGCTGAGCATACCCACGATAGTTCCGACGCCTTCACGCGCGTTCCAGCGTGCGTGGTTTGCACGTCTGCTCATGCCCTCACATTCCTCACCACCAAGGGCGGTGTCCAGATTGGCAATGCATGCTGGGAGCTTTTCTGTTTGGAGCATGGCATCCAACCGGATGGCCAGATGCCCAGTGCCTTGGAAAAGTCACTTTTGTGGCTCACAACTCAGGATTGATGTTGGCCCGTAGTTGGTTATGGGGGTGTACCGTGTATATTTGATACCATCTGTGTAGGTGGGATCTTTCATGAATAAAACGCGGGGCTTCACTGATCCTGGGTTGAAGTAGGGCCTTCCCTTGCTGAATGGGGTATTTCTAACAGCAGCACCTCTTCTGACAAATTTTCATGAATAGTTTTTCACGACCATTTTTGGGCAGCTGTTCAACATGCTATTGATCGGCTAAGGGATGATGCGGCAAATCGTTTGATGTTTCGTTGCTATACAGCGAGCAGTATAGCCATTCAACTGGGATACCTTCCCGAGCTCAAGACCACACTGGAACTGCCAGTTTCGCTATCATTAGTAAAGTGCGTCTTGTCGAAAATCAGTTTGGCCCCCATTCAGTCTCAGTCGTGTTCCAAGCGCCTCCGTACTCTTGAACATTTTGGGAGGTCAACTCTTTTGGTGCAAATGTGGCAACGTCTTTAAAAAAGTTGCGTACATGCAAGAGGCGAAATTCATGATTCCCTAGCGCTACCTTAGCGATACCGATTTGTTCGAAAAGTAGTCCCGGACTACAGATAGAAGCTTTCCCCCTTTCCTTTCCACTTTCTTTCCTCGGTCTTCGTTGGTTTCCTGTGTCTTCCCTCTTTCTTTCCTGTTATTTTCCTCTTTTCCTTTTCCGCTCTTCCTTTCCTCTCTTCGTTTCCTCTTCGTTTCTTCTTGCTTTCCTCTTTTTCTCTTTTCGTCCGTCTTTGGTCTTTTGTCGTTGCATATTTTTGTTCTATCATTAGAAATGCAAAACCATGCGTAGCGATAGGACACCGTAAAAGGTGGTGTGTGCATATAAATATATATATATATATACATACACACATATGTAACGGCAATCAGTTTCGACAACGGCTGATGTGTGTGTATATATAATGTATATAAAAAACCGCGCCAACGGCCCAGATTTCGGGTTACACTGTCTGTACAACTGTACAATAGGCTACCTTTCCCAACTATGCGGCAGTCGCCTCATATGAAGAACCCCGAAATTCACTTGATATAATATTGCCCCTGCAATCAGTATGATGCTGTCTAGAGTGCCACCATCAGAAGGTCAGCTGCTGACTCTTGTTTAGGCAGACTTGCGACAGACTAAAACTGCAGACTGATGCTGCTACAATTACAAATATTGCAGCAAACAAGTTCCTTTGTCCCAAGTAGCCCAGCAGTACCAAACCTGCAAAAGGCCACCTATGGGTAGGACATTAGAGATACGATATCTGGGCTCTCATCCGAATCTGTAGAGGGTGCCCCAAAAATTGTGGTCAAGGTGACAAGACCATTGGTGGTGGCGATGATGCGTTCAACACGTGCCTTGGTGAGTTGGGTTCGGGTCACGTTTCTGGAGGCCCGTAGATTTGGAGAATTGCTGGTCATCTGTTTTTGTCTCGAACCCACCAACCTTTGTGGGCACAGAGCATATGTTGTGTGGGAGGTGCGCACAGTGACGAAGGTTGTACGAGAATGTCCTCAGATAAAATTTGCGCGCGTTGCCAAAAATCCTTGGCATTGCCTGTCCACATGCATGCATGTTGTGTGTCACAGAAGGAAAACCGCTCCTATTTGGTTTACAAGCTCAGCCCGTCCCCGTGATCAAGTGGATGGGAAGGAATCCAGTGCACATTGAGGTTCTTTTCAGAGACTGGTGCAGGAAAACACGTGCCTCGATGCGTCATGGTGGACCTCGAACCTTGGCTGCCAAATTGGTGGCTGCAGGGTCGGTCTTGATGCGTTGAAACATAGACCAGCTCAACCTCAGGGGCAACTAGCCTGTCACTGGCTGGTGAACATCTATGTTCCATAGCGTGGCTGCCCCTATTTGAGAGGCTGAACAGTTGAAATGAGTGTTGGCAAACGTCTTAATGATCGAAGGAAGTTTAGAAGTCAAACTTCCGACAATATGGACAGATGGAAAAGCAGAGGTGGTAAGAGTCAGCGAAGAGAACAACAGAAGAAAGAAGATCAGAGAAGAGAGACAGTCAGAAGAAAGAAGATGCAGGTGCGCGAAAAGGTAGAAAAGTCGCGATTCAGTGTGTTTTTCCAATGATTTGTGGTTCCGGAGGGTCGAAAAGTAGGCTAGCTAAAGCGGCGGGTGCGGAGCCATCTGGCCAGATGAGAGATGAACAATTGCACGCCGTTGTGGTGCGAAGCACATTTCGAAGTCAACATGTACAAAGCACGTCAGCTTCGGAGAACTTTTGGAAGTTGAGATGTTGAAAAAGTGCACGCTGTTGTGGCGCGAAGCACATTTCCAAGTCAAAAGTGTTAAAGCTAACGGTCTCGGACCACTTTTGGACGTTCAGATGTCGTTTCGCGTGGCAGGCGCAAGGGGTTCTGCATCTTGCCACAAGTGAGCAAAATGTCAGGGTGTTGTCGCAGTTTCAACTACAACCACTACACTACACACTCCGCAACACTACGCTACACTACAACTACAACTACAACTACACTACACTAATTACATGTCACTACGCTACACTACACTCCACTCCACCCCGCTCCACTACACTACACTACACAAACCACAACCACAACTACAACTACAACTACTACACAACTACACAACTACACAACTACACAGCTACACAGCTACACAACTACACTACATTGCACTACACTACATTGCACTACACTACACTGATTACATTACACTACGCTACACTACACTACACTACACTACACTACACTACACCCCGCTTCACTACACTACACTACGCTACGCTACACTAGAATACGCTCAATTACACTGCACTAACTACAACTGCAAGTACACTACATTACACTACACTACACTGAATTACACTCTACACTACACTACACTACACTACATTACCCTTCACTTCACTACACTACACTACACTGCACTGCACTGCACTGCACTGCACTGCACCACACTACACTACACTACACTACACTCCACTGCACTGCACTACACTACACTACACTACAACTCCAACTACAACTACAACTACATTTACAACTGCACTACACTAATTACACTACACCACACCACACTACACTACACTACGTTACAGTACACTACACTACACTAACTACAACTACAGCTGCAGCTACAACTACAACTACGCTACTTTACATTACACTACACTACACTAGACTACACTTCACTACACTACCCTACATTACATTACGCTACACTCATTACACCACCACACATGCAACTGCAACTACGCTACACTAATTACACTACACACAACTACAGCTCCACTACACTACAACTACAACTGCACTACACCACACTACATCCAGCAGTTGTGGGTGAGGTGGCCGACCAGGTGACCACTGCAACCATTGTAATCACTCCCAAAAACACAACTCCAACCACCTTTCAGTCCATCAGTGGATTCGCTCTGCCATCCGTGATTCACAACAACCAAGCTCTCCTATAGGTTTCCTATTCCGAAACTTCCGCCACGTGCGGTACTACTGGTAGGTATGGTTCGTACCATTACTGCGATTGGCTTGCTAGGACCCACAAATTTTCTGGTTCAATGCTTCAAATTTTACAGTGACAGATAGAAACATGGCAGCACCTGCATTTGAGTTAGCAACCTGACAAGTGGAAGACCAAGTCGGCTCGTCGGCTGGTCGTGAAGGTGGTTTGAATGTTTTCAAAAGTCTTCTGGTGAAGAGCAAAACTGGACCATTTAATTTAGATTAAAAATGCCTGTGCCATTGTCTCCACATGTGTTAAAAAGTTGGTGCGTGTGCTCGGTTTTGAATAGTCTGAAGATTTTTTCTTTTAAGATTGCGTTTGGTTCCAAAATTTTTCGACAAAAACAACAATTGGTTGTACAAATGCCAACGATATACGCAATTCGCAGTTCAGTAGTGTGCGCAAACATTGATCGCTTGTTTTGCGAGTTCTTCCACGTTTTATTCAGTCATCAAGCGTTGAGTGGTTAGACTAAACCTTATGCATGCCCTGTGTTTTGGATTGAGACAGCAAAAAAATCATTGACAATTTTGGCCCAAGGAAATTTCACGTTACTTCCAATGGTGCCAGGTTAAAACAGTTGTTTGTAAAAATATTTCAGCAAAACCGATGTGCACGTTTGACAAGTTAAGAAATCGCGTTTTCAAACCACCGAGACAATATTACAATGAAATACTTTCGAGGAATGGTTGATACAAGAGTCCAAGCAATTGTTGACAGAATTTCAGGATTTGCAAGAACATTTGAACAAATGCGGTTTTCAACCATTTTGAATACAGTGGTGGTACCGGTATCAGCTTAAACAATTTTAAGCAAACGGTGAATAAAGTTCAGAAAAACTTCATCAATTTTCGGAACACTATTAATACATATAAACAGTTTCAAATTATTTACGTCCGGGGGTACCACACTTTTTGAGAACATCCAAAACATGACGAAATTGGGCGTTGCGGAACAAAATACTCGCCCGTCCGCCAGGAGCCCACAGTCGTTGATGAGGTGCGCACTGGCACTTACCGTCAGCTCTTTCATCCAGAACAATTGATCTCCGGAAAAGAGGACGCAGCCAACAATTTTGCACGCGGGCACTATACGATTGGCAAGGAGATTGTTGATTTGGTCCTGGATCGCATTCGTAAACTTGCTGACAACTGCACTGGAACCTGGGTTTGCAGTCAATCGAACATTATGGGTGTGTCTAAAAATGGGAGATACCCAAAACAATATGGAAAATGATGATAGGACTTTTGGGTATCCAATTTTCAGTCGAATCGCATATAATATGCGTTTTTTTTTTTTCTTTGTGTTCATTTTGCAAGGGATCCTCTTGTTGCCATGTTTTGGGTCCCCCTTTGTGAAAGGATTGCAGGGTTTCTGCGTGTACAACGCGTGCGGTGGCGGCACTGGATCCGGCTTGGGCTGCTTGATGTTGGAGCGTTTATCCGTGGCTTTGCTCGTGATTTTCGACTCGTTTGTATTTGGTCAACCCATGGGCCCATGGGGAATCTACCAAGGCAAATCCACCATTTGGGGAATCTATAAGGTAAATACATCATTTGGAGAATCTATAAGGTAAACCCAGAAAATCTATAAGTTTCTTTTTTTTGCCTGGGACCATCTTAAGCAAATATCAGGTGGACTATGGAAAGAAGAGCAAGATCTCTTTCACCGTGTGGTGCTGCCCACAAGTAGCAACGGCCGTCGTCGAACCGTACAACACTGCATCTTAGCTGAAGTCCAGGTGAAAACATGTGCATGCAATTGCAAAGACAGATGTTGGATCCACGCACAGATACCCATGAGAATCATCGATATGTGATCTAATGTAAAAATACGCATGCACATGTATGGTGGATGTATGTGTGCCGAGATAATTCATTCTGCAGACTTGCGTTTGCATGTGTTTGTTTGTCGCGTGCATTTTTTTGTGCTGCATGCGAACACACGCGCCATACATCAGCCTGTCCATTTCTTCACATATAAACTTAAAGAAAGATGTACAAAAGAGAAAGAGAGAGAGAGAGAGAGAGAGGGCGCGAGAGAGAGAGAGAAAGCGAAGAGATTGCCGCTATGTCACGCAGGTGTTGTGCGTGCATTCGCTGTTGGAGCACACCGACGTGACCATCATGTACGACAATGAAGCACTTTACGACATTTGTCGCAGGAACTTGGATATCGAACGCCCAACCTACACCAATTTGAACAGGTGGGGTTCGGTTGCGTCCCGTGTTTTGATGATGCTCATATTTGTTGGTTTGGTTATACATTGATTATAAGATGTGGGTTACATCACCGTAAATATGTGTTGGACTCGTTATTTCAAAGTGGATATGGGTCAAAATTGGTTACCCCAATAATTGGACACCCTTTGGTAAACGTTTACATAACTATGGGACATAGGTAAATCAAATATAAATGGGCCATTTTCAATAGTTTTTTGTATGTTTACCAGAGGGTAAATGCATGGATAAAAACAGGCTGTGGTATCCTGTGGCCCCTCAGGTTTAAAATTTTGACACACACCCAAGTGCATTTGGGGCACCTGTTCGACGGATAGGTCACCCGCCTTTGTGATGATCATCCCCTTAAGAGAGACTTGTGATGGCCAAGATGGCAATGGAAAATCCACCGGTTATAGTTATAGATGTTTTATGTCATTTTATGTGTTTTTTCCCCATTTAAATCGCTATTTTTAGTTGATTTCCCATTGCCATGTTTGAGGACACCGGATGGTCTTTTTGGGATGACCATGACGCGCCAGTCCCTTCAGGTTGATCGCCCAAATCATCTCCAGTCTCACGGCGTCCCTGCGTTCCTTGGGAACTCAATGAAGGCGTTGTTTGGGTATGGATGGTAGGGATCAAAAATCTAAGTCTCTAAGTCCCCCGGCAGATTTCAGGCATTTTCGGTATCTCATGTTTAGGATACCTGGTCAAGAATTGATGTAAGAGTTTGGTATCGATCTGGATTAAAACTCGATTTTAGGGGTACCTACTTTTTACCTAATTGAAAATTTGAACTTTTGGGATGCAACCCTCACAACAGGGATTTTTAAGCATCAACAGTAGGGAACTAATCGTGGCTTCCCAAGCCAAGATAGACCAATTTGGTGCATTGTCAGGGTCCACCATTGTAAGAAAGACACATGTAACAAAAGTAGTAGTACACATATCTAAATATAAGATCTTGATCTAAAATATGAAGAATATCAAACAAGTACATGTGACTGGTGTAATGTGGTGTTAAATTCGCAGAAATAATGCCCATATGATTGTTATTTGTATCATATCACCCAGATAGATGATCAGACGATGCTTATTCTTCAGTCGTATGGCTATGGATCATATGGATCCTGGTACCCATCTGTTCACATCAAAACAGCTGGTAATTATGGATGTTCATGAGCCACAAGCATGCAAACATAGGTTCTTATATGTTTGATAAACGCCTGAAATGAACACAAACTAAAGATTTATATCTAAGGCTTTCGCTTCAACATATATTCTCAGATATGTGTTCTATGCACCTTTTAAATCCTATTATAATCAGATTCCCCTTAGATGAATCCCAATCTATTAGTTGTAATCAGCCATTGTTATTCTTTAAATCCCATCTTTATAATTATAGTCCCATCCCCTAATATTAAACACCCCCGATATGGTCCCAAATATGTAGTTTCATCCCATATTACACTATGGTTTCTCGGGTGTGTTTGATATTAGGGGGAGGGATTACAATCACAAGTCAACCATTAACCAAGCATCTTTTTTTGAACTACATCCCATATTAATGTGTGGGTTTCTTGAAATGGTGGATCCCCAAGTCTCCATAGGTTTCAATACTCAGTCAGGTCATCCATGACTTGGATGATTTGGGGGCTACCCCTATGACTTATAATCAACCATCATATCAGCCATGGTTATTCGGCGAAAATTGACTGTTGATTCAAATGGTTTACTTAGTCAACCCACTTAAAGTGGTCATTAACCAATAACCACTATTTACTTCAAAAAAATGACTACGATTGCTTAAAATGGACTATTATGGTTTATTTAACCAATATTGATATATCAATTTTCATGAACTACATCCCATGTGAATCAACCATCATTAACCAACCCCTTTTTATATATGGAGGTTTCCTGACATGGGGGTACCCCTAAATCATCAACTTCTAGATGGATTTTCCATTGTAAACCATCCAGCTACTGGGGTACCTTGATGACTATGGAAACCCCCATATGAAATATGTAGTACTATTGATTTTTCCACGGACCATTATGGTTTATTAAACCAACCCCTTTATATAGTATATATCGTACATATATATATATAAATACACACACACACATATATATATATATAATACGTACATATATACATGTGGCTTTGATCCCCGAGCTCTCGGTCATTCTCGGTCCAAGGCTTCGATGGAGCATTGAACGTGGACATCACCGAGTTTCTGGACGGCCATGGCTTGGAAAATTCAGGGATTTCGTTAGAAAAAATGGAGATTTCCATGGGGATTCAATGGTGATTATGGATGCTTTATATGGTTTATTTCATAGAAATCCCCCATGAAAATGGATGATTTCTATTTTAGGACACCTCCAAAAGGTGATTTCCACAGGGATTCAGTGGTGATTTCATGGGCTACACCAGAAAAATCAGATGAACATGGGTTTTACCCTGTAAAATGAATGTGTTGATGGTGCTTTGATGGGTTATACCAGTATATGTTTATTTAGGTAAACATGGGGACATTGATCAACCAAAATGTGGCTTACAACCACGATTTTCGGGGGTTCCGATTTCATTGGTTATTTGGGTGGTATATAAACCAACCACAGTGGGGATATGATGGAGATATAATGGAGATATATGGGGGGAATGTAATAACGGAATATTATCAAAGGAAGTTGGGAAGCAATACTTCCGAGTTACGGACAAATAGAATTCTGAGACTTGAAATGATGAAGGGTGGTACGTCATCTAACAATACATAACAGAAGAATAAGAAGCTATGCAGTTGATCTTGATGAAGGGTGGTAGATCACATAACAATACATAATGTAACAATACATAACAAAAGAATAAGAAGCTATGCAGTTGACCTTGATGAAAGGTGGTAGATCACATAACAATACATAATGTAACAATACATAACAAAAGACTAAGAAGCTATGCAGTTGACCTTGATGAAGGGTGGTAGATCACATAACAATACATAACAAAAGAATAAGAAGCTATGACACAGGGTGGGTGAAGAAGGGAAGTGATGATGAAGGGGAGTTGTGACGAAGGGAAGTGGTGAAGAAGGGAAGTGATGATGAAGGGGAGTGGTGACGAAGGGAAGTGGTGAGGAAGGGAAGTGGTGCAGAAGGGAAGTGGTGAGGTAGGGAAGTGGTGAAGAAGGGGAGTGGTGACGAAGGGAAGTGGTGAGGAAGGGAAGTGGTGAAGAAGGGAAGTGATGATGAAGGGGAGTGGTGACGAAGGGAAGTGGTGACGAAGGGAAGTGGTGACGAAGGCAAGTGGTGAGGTAGGGAAGTGGTGACGAAGGGAAGTGATGATGAAGGGGAGTGGTGACGAAGGGAAGTGGTGAGGAAGGGAAGTGGTGAAGAAGGGAAGTGGTGAAGAAGGGGAGTGGTGATGAAGGGAAGTAGTGAGGAAGGGAAGTGATGGAGAAGGGAAGTGGTGACGAAGGGAAGTGGTGAAACAGGGAAGTGATGACCTTTGTTGCATGAATGTTGCATGGGCTATGTTTTGGGGAGGAAGCCGGAGCACGAAACCTTGTGTTTTTCCGTGTAAAGTGGCTGCAGCCGGCGATGAAAGGTACCTCGTCTGTGGGCGGGTGCGGCTGGGGTCGTTTCTGTCGCGAATTGTTCCTCCTATGTGTTTTGCAACGAGTGGCGGTTCCTGTGTGCGTAGTTCTATGCGGTTCTTGAAGCTGTGGTTGCAGATCGCATTGGAATGGCTGCATGAATGTTGCGTGGGCTATGTTTTGGGGAGGAAGCCGGAGCACGAAACCTTGTGTTTTTCCGTGTAAAGTGGCTGCAGCCGGCGATGAAAGGTACCTCGTCTGTGCGGCGGGGGCGGCTGGGTCGTTTCTGTGCGAATTGTTCCTCCTATGTGTTTTGCAACGAGTGGTTGTCCTGTGTGCGTAGTTCTATGCCGTTCTTGAAGCTGTGGTTGCAGATCGCATTGGAATGGCTGCATGAATGTTGCATGGGCTATGTTTTGGGGAGGAAGCCGGAGCACGAAACCTTGTGTTTTTGTGTTTTTCCGTGTAAATTGGCTGCAGCCGGCGATGAAAGGTACCTCGTCTGCGCGGCGGGTGCGGTTTGGATCGTTTCTCTGTCGCGAATTGTTTCCTCCTATTGTGTTTTGCAACGAGTGGCGGTTCCTGTGTGCGTCGTTTCTAATGCGGTTCTGAAGCTTGTGGTTGCAGATCGCATTGGAAATGCTGCATGATGTTGCTGGGTTATGTTTGGGGAGGAAGCCGTAGCCGAAACCTTGGTGTTTTTCCCGTGTAAAGTGGCTGCACCGGCGATGAAAGGCAACCCTCGTCTGTGCGGGCGGGTGGCGGCTGGTCTTTTCTTCTGGTCGCAATTGTTTCCTCTATGTGTTTTGTCAACGAGTGGCGTTCCTGTTGCGTAGTGTTCTATGCGGTTCTGAAAGCTGTGGTTGTCAGATCGCATGGAATGCTGCATGAATGTGCGTGGGCTAATGTTTTGGGGAGGAAGCCCGGAGCCACGAACCTTGTGTTTTTTCGGTAAAAGTGCTGCAGGCCCGCGATGAAAGGTACCTCGCCTGTGCGGCGGGTGCGGCTGGGGTCGTTTCTGTCGCGAATTGTTCCTCCTATGTGTTTTGCAACGAGTGGTTGTTCCTGTGTGCGTAGTTCTATGCCGTTCTTGAAGTTGTGGTTGCAGATCGCATTGGAATGGCTGCATGAATGTTGCATGGGCTATGTTTTGGGGAGGAAGCCGGAGCACGAAACCTTGTGTTTTCCGTGTAAAGTGGTTGCAGCCGGCGATGAAAGGTACCTCGTCTGTGCGGCGGTTGCGGCTGCGGTCGTTTTGTGCGCGAATTGTTCCTCCTATGTGTTTTGCAACGAGTGGTTGTTTCCCTGTTTCTAAGTTTTCTAATGCGGTCTTGAAGCTGTGGTTGCAGATCGTCATTGGAATGGCTGCATGAATGTTGCATGGGTTATGTTTTGGGGAGGAAGCCGGAGCACGAAACCTTGTGTTTTTCCGTGTAAAGTGGCTGCAGCCGGCGATGAAAGGTACCTCGTCTGTGGGGCGGGTGCGGGTGAGGTCGTGTCTGTCGCGAATTGTTCCTCCTATGTGTTTTGCAACGAGTGGTTGTTCCTGTGTCCGTAGTTCTATGCGGTTCTTGAAGCTGTGGTTGCAGATCGCATTGGAATGGCTGCATGAATGTTGCATGGGCTATGTTTTGGGGAGGAAGCCGGAGCACGAAACCTTGTGTTTTTCCGTGTAAAGTGGCAGCCGCCGGCGATGAAAGGTGCCTCGTCTGTGGGCGGGTGCCGGTGAGGCGTGTCTGTCGCGAATTGTTCCTCCTATGTGTTTTGCAACGAGTGGTTGTTCCTGTGTCCGTAGTTCTATGCGGTTCTTGAAGCTGTGGTTGCAGATCGCATTGGAATGGCTGCATGAATGTTGCATGGGCTATGTTTTGGGGAGGAAGCCGGAGCACGAAACCTTGTGTTTTTCCGTGTAAAGTGGCAGCCGCCGGCGATGAAAGGTGCCTCGTCTGTGCGGCGGGTGCCGGTGCGGGTGCCTTTCTGATGAAAGGGAAGTGGTGAGGAAGTAGTAGTACTGGGAAGTGATTCATGAAAGCTTAGATGACATATGAGAAGAGATGAGATGAGAAGAGATGAGCTGGGATAAGGTGAGAAGAGCTCAGATGAGATGAAGTGTGGAGTGTGAAGGGTGCAGTGTGAAGTGTGGGGCGTGAAGAGTGCAGTGTGAAGTGTGGAGTGTGAAGAAAGCAATGAGAAGTGAGAAGTGTGAAGTGTGGACTGTGAAGTGTGAAGTGTGGAGTGTGAAGTGTGAAGTGTGGATTGGGAAGAGTGCAGTGTGAAGTGAGAAGTGTGGAGTGTGAAGAGTGCAGTGTGAAGTGTGTAGCGTGGAGTGTGAAGACTGTCAAGTGTGAAGTGTGAAGTGGAGCTTCAAATGTGACATGTGAAACAAGACACCAGTTTCGCAGAGTGCACGCACGCACGGGCTTGGCTGGCGCACGGCGCATGCAAGTTCTATAGATGAGAAAGGTCTTATATATATCTTTAAGGCAACTTCCGCCCCGCCTTGTGCGGGTACTACTGGTATATCAAACAGATGCTGCGGGTTTGCTCAAAATAGCGGATACCCGGAAATGGGGATGGTAATTCTGACTATCATGGGACATATCATGATTGCCATGTCCCATTTTGGGATTACTGTAGGTGCCGGAATTATAGAACGGAAGTTGAGGAGTACGAAGGTACGGTTATTTACCGTACCCTGTTGTTCTATAATTCTGTTTTCCTCGGAAGGTGTGAAAAAAAACGTATCTGAATTTACTCCTAACTTTTTTCGTCGTTCTATAATTCTTGTCGGAGCGCTGCTGTTCTATAATTATGTTTTCCCCCATTTTTCTCACATTTCCCATTTTCGTTCTATAATTAATGTTTCCCGGGCCCCGTTCTATAAGTAATTTTTCCGTCGAACGGAAAAAATAATTATAGAACGGAACAATTAATTATAGAATTATAGAACCTCTTCCGGGGGCCCAGAAATTCTACAAAATCACCATGAAATATAAGAAAATCACCGTGAAAGCCCATAAAATCACCATGAAGTCCCATAAAATCACCATGAAATCCCATAAAATCACCATGAAATCCCATAAAATCACCATGAACCCATAAAATCACCATGAAATCCCATAAAATCACCATGAAATCTCAGAAAATCACCATGAAATCTCAGAAAATCACCTGGTAAATGTGGGAAAAATGGGGGAAACAGAATTATAGAACGGAAGTTGAGGAGTACGAAGGTACGGTTATTTACCGTACCCTGTTGTTCTATAATTCTGTTTTCCTCGGAAGGTATGAAAAAACGGGGAAATTTAATTATAGAACGGGGAAATTTAATTGTAGAACGGATCCCCGTTCTATAATTAAATTTCCCGACTCCGCGCGGAATCGGAACCCGGAGGAGTACAAAGGTACGGTATTTTACCGTACTTTTGTACTCCTGGCTCCGTTCTATAATTCTGGCACCCGCTGTAGACCCTGCATATTTTGCTCAGCCCTCAACTGGCTGTCATAGCCGCTCGATGGCCTTCGAACCTGAATCCACATGACCATTGGAATTCAGGTTCCAGACAAATTTGGTGCCTTATCCGCGCATCCACTTCATGTTGACCTCCTATGCTCCAGTGATCTCTGCCGAGACTTGGGAAGATGATTTGAAGATTTTGTTTAATCAGACATGGGCAATCATCTTCAAATAGAACAGCGTTGGAGATTTGCAACTTGTACAAGCCCCAGGAAAAAATCTGCATAAGAATACTCTGTCATCCATACAATAGAATTTAATAGACATATCATCTTGAGGATGCAGCCAACACCCCAAACTTTACTCCCCAATGACTGCTGTTTTTTTTAACCCTCAATATTGGGGGTATCACCTTTCGGGGGAAATGGAAATGATCAAAATGATCAAGGAGAAGGCCTATCATGAGCAGCTCTCTGTGGCAGAGATCACCATGTCTGTCTTCGAGCCAGCTTCCATGATGGTGAAGTGCGATCCGCGTCATGGCAAATACATGGCCTGCTGCATGATGTATCGTGGCCACTTGGTGGACAGATGCAGACAGGTTGGGTAAATCATCCCCAATTTTAGGGTGTTTTAACGTGTTTTTAGCACTACAATGGGGTAACGGGGATTTATTTAGTCATCAAAAAAAGACAGGCAGATTCAAATATAACACATATGACCTTATCAATGATTTAACAATCAGAAATGATTAAAACCGGGTGTTTCATCAACAAACATCGGGATTCAACGATCAAACCTGGGTATATGAGCAAAGATTGGGGTGAAGATAGTGTGCATATCTGGGTAAAAATCTGCTTGATTGGTTCACTTTTGGCCATTTTCATTTTGAGATATATTAACCAGCCATAGCCGGGGGATGTATAGTGGGGGAGATCGGATTGAGATGATGGTCACAGTTCCAGCGTCAGACACGGACAATGTGTGCCTGGGAAGTCTTGATCTAGCCCTATGTATGTCAGTTTTTTTCAGTTTTGTATGAGCGCTCTTTTTTATCGCTTGCCTTCACTCGGGGAACAGTACATGCCAATAAAATGAAGAGAATCGATACAGTATCCTATCTCTTTGATGTTACGACTGTCATATTTGAGCCAGCAATCTAAGAGGTTCATGCAACCAGGTATCAAGTGTAGAGGCACCCCATAGGCACCCTGAGGTAAACTAACATAGGTATGGAAAGCTCTAGTTTCCCTCGGAAAGCAATCTATAAATGATTGATTTTCATGGATTTTCCAGTATCCATGTCATGATATAGGTTGGTTTAAGGGAAATTTTACAGGAACCCCCTATATTTGATGGGGAAAAACCAATGGTTCCCTGTAGATTTTCCCTTCAAAACCAATCCAGTGACTATGTCAATTTAGAGGGTTCCTATGGTTTCCCTTGGACAATGATCTATAGATGATGCTTTTTTCCATATCTGTCACTTTAGAGGGTAAATCCTATGGTAAATCCAAGATCCCTCATTCATCACTGGTTCATTCCACCAGGCGATGTGGTGCCAAAGGATGTGAATGCGGCAGTGGCCACGATCAAGACCAAGCGCACCATCCAGTTCGTGGATTGGTGCCCCACTGGCTTCAAGTGCGGCATCAACTATCAGCCACCTACTGTGCCGGGGCAGCTTCAGTGTGTTTTTTTAAGGTTTGTTTGTCCTATTTTTTCCGTTCGAGAAATGTGCAACTTTGGGAAGTTTTCTCGAATCTAGTTGGTGTTTTCACCCGTTTCTTCTCTTCCATCCCATTGGAAGTGGATTTTTCATTGATGGGCGGATGCCAGCAAGCAGGGAATGGTTCGTGCATGGGAAATCGCCTGTAATGGATATATAAATGGAAAAAATCATCGAACTGCCACTAAATTGGGGATTTTCCAGCTAGCGACGTTTGATTGCCAGAGGGTTATATATATATATATATCTCCAATATTGTTGTTCTTATTATGCATTGTTGTTATCATTATATACCCTTTATGTGTCTTACTAAACAAATCTGGCGATCAAAAATAACCATTCTGCATGGGTCATCCCAAAGTTCGGTGTCATTCGTTGAAGTCTCCTGTTTTCTTGCTTCAACCCCCATTGTTGGTTGATTCAAAAGCACTTTTTGGTTGATTATACAGTTATACACTATCTATTCTATTCATTATTGGTCATAAAACCTCAGATTTTGCTGATATGTTTCCATCCAGTCCAACCACTTGACTTTAAGTTTTGTTCGATCCTCATTCCGGTTTTTTGTCGGGTTAAAATACCCAATTTGTTGGTGAAATCAACATGTTTATCGGTAAGACATTTTAGATCAATAGATCCAGTTTGTTTCTGGTTCAGCCCACATGTGGTGTTGGTTTCATCCTGAGTTTTTCCTGATCAAATCTCAGTTTTGGCTGGTGACATTGACCTTTTTTATTGCTGACATCCTTTCAATCGCAATTGTTGGGGCTTCAACCTGCATTTTCGCAGAGCGAATCCCAGGTCACTCGTGAAATCATCATCAAATCAGCACTTCCCAGGTAAATCCCATATTTTTCCCAGGTAAATCCAGCTTTTTTCATCTTTTTTCTAGGTTCACGCAGATTTTTTCCTACTAAATCCCACATTTTCTTCAGTTCACCTCCACTTTTTTCCTACTGACATGGATGAATCATGACGTTTATCCCCATGGAAATCTAGTGACCTCGTGGGAAAATGTCAGCTCCGAGGTGGTTCCGGGAGGCGATCTGGCCAAGGTCATGCGCGCCTGCTGCATGATCTCCAATTCCACGGTAGCTGGTTGCCGATTTCGGGAATTTCCATGGGGAAAAATGGGGACTGAGACTCATCATAGCAATATTGTAATGGTTAATCGCAGTAAATAGCAATATTCATGAGAATTTAATGGTATCAGAATTTAATTCATCAGATTTTCAATGAGAAAAAATAGGCGAAAAGCCATAGGATTTACCATGCACCATTTTTTTGGATCCCAAAATGGATCCCAGCACTAGGATCAAAATCATTGCTACCCACTTGTAGCAGTTTCGTTGGTTGGACGTCACCCCCCAATTCCCAACAAGGAATGTGATTTAGCCCGGCAAACATCGGCATTGAATCATCCAAAACGATGACTTAACCAACAAAACTTGAGGATCTTGTGCAGTACAAATCTGGATCAGCGCAATGAAACTTGGGGCAAAGATGTGGGTGTGTCTGAAAATGTCGTGTACCCCTAAGCCCAATGGTTTTGCTGATCATTATCCCGTTTTTAAATGGCTATAATTGGGAATATACCCTATTTTCAGACAAACCCATGTGCTTTCTTATTTTTCCGGCAAGAATCGAGACATGCCCACGCCTTTTTGGTCACACATGATGTATGTGACGGAATCTTGGGCCATCTTGGGTGTCTCTCCAAATTTGGGATCCTCCATGGAAGTCTTAATCAACACGCCAGTTATTTGGGGGCTTTTGGGTCCCCACTTTTGACAAACCCCTTGAATAAAAAAAGATACGGTGTTCTTGGCAAAAGAAGATATCCCTTTAACAGGGTTTGGTAAATGTCCAATGGCTTGGGGATGTTTCACATCACCAAAACAAGTATCTGTTGGAGATGATATCCCCAAATATTGCAATATGTGGGTGATGTATAAATTAGGACATTTACCAAGCCCTGTTTCATAAACACTTTCCCACAACGAGTGTTCTGATCTTTGTGGTCGATTAGAAATTGGGGGATCCTGAGCTGAATGATGCTCAGGCGATGGCAAACCCGTGGCTTTCCAACGAGGGGATGATTGGAAAAATATGTACCATATATACCGTAATTATTTGGGGGGATCAACAGTATGTAAATGAATTCAGATATGTATTTACTGTAATTTTTGTTACAGCCCATTTACATAATAATTCTATACAATTTATATACCCTCTGGTAAACTAAGATAGCTATTGAAAATGACCCAGTCGAAATAGTGGATTTACCCATTAATAGCATGGTGATTTTCCATCAGTTTTTTGTTAACGTTTACCAGAGGGTATCTCCCGATAAATCACCATATTTTCCGTATTTTTCCAATAAATCACCATATTTTCCATAGTTATGTTGTTTACCATAGGGTACCATAACTGCCAGCAAAATCTCGTTCTGTGACAGGGGTGAACCCCGCGTGACCTGAAAAGCCACTGAGGCCATTGCGGAGGTCTTCTCGCGTATTGACCACAAGTTTGACCTCATGCACCTTCCTGAATCAGAGGGATTTTCACGGGAAATCTCATGGGATTTTCATATTTTTCATAGTATATAGGTTTATAATCGCAAAAATTGCCATATAGAACTAGAAACTATTGCTGTTGTGGGGTTTTTCAAACTGCTGCAAAAACGGTTTCCCTACTATGGCCTACTTCGTAATCCCCAGTAATCCAGGTAGGTTAAAATCTCCCTATACCAATTAACCGGGCTATTTGGAATAGCTCTAATATGGTACTTGGGTGCAGGCCCCACAAATTGTAAATGGGTTAAAAACCACCGGTTACATTAATGGAATATCCCCTATTCTGTATTGGATATATAATTTATATATGTATTATAAAGCACGGATGGATCCCAAGTGGGATACACATCCAGGTAGTGATTTGTGGGCGTCTGAAAATGGGGGATAGCCATAAACTGACCATTTATATAGGAAAATGAGGGTAAACCAGAGGACATAGGGGTACGCAATTTTCAGACAAACCCATTTCGGAATGATTTAGTGGTGAAATAATGGGTTGTTGCCGGTGTTAACCATCGAAAATAATGATTCAACCAAGAAATATTGGGGATATGATGGGACTATATAACAGCATTTGTTGGTTAACTATAGCAACACTTTTTTTGGCTGACCATTAGTTATGAAGATATTTAAGCAACTATTGAATATGGCAGACCCAAACTTTTTTACATACTATACCCTCTGGTAAACTAACATAGCTATGGAAAATCACCATTTTTAATGGGTAAATCCACTATAAATTGCCATTTTCAATAGCTATGTTAGTTTACCAGAGGGTAACCAACTTGACATGATATTTGGGTCTGCTGCCGGGGGATGCCTCAAGTTATTTGGGATCCAGAGAGTCACCAGGATAAGCCGAATACCTTCAGTTGGTTCATGGAGGATGGGGCCCCCAGTCGATAGCGTTCAGTTGGTTTATTTTTGTGGCTGAATTCTATGGTTGATGGTAGATATCACTATAGTTAATAGGGATTATAATGGTTTATAAACCAACTTATAACTGGGGGGCCCCATCCTGCAAGGTTCATGGGGTTTCAACATGTTTTAGACATCACTTTCTTCGAATGATCCCCACCATTGCAAACATTCGGACATATATTCTGACAGTCTATCTGACATCTTGTATGGCATTCTTTCTGGCACTTGATCTGGCATTCTATCTGACATTTTATCTGTCATTCTATCTGGCTTTCTATGTGGCATTCTAGTTGTGCTATTCTATCTCACATTTTTATCTGACGTTCCATCTGGCATGTTATATCTGGCATAATTTTCGGGGCAAGCCGTAGTGGCCCTACTTCTCTCAGTTTCGCGAGCCACAGGCTGGCGCATGCGAGAAGGCACCCGCGTGCAAGCGTCAGGAAACATGAGCTTTTTTGAGAGAGACCGTGGCTGACCTTGTACAGTAGGTCAAAAAAATGCAAGGTGAAACCACTCCAATGACATCAATCTCAGGGCATACCACCTGGGAAGAGAATCGTAACACGTGTGAAGGAGCCAACAGTTCAACAACAACCCGGCCCAGGCAGAAGCAGGACATGTTTCCTTCACAAGCCTGCTTGCTGCATGTCACAATGGCAGCAAGCCAAGACGGTAGCAACTGAAAGCCAGTTCAGAGGCAATTACAGGTACTTTTGGATAACACTGGAGCAAACAGAAAAAACAAACCAGAAAACAACAAAAACAACAAGAAAAAAACAAACACGATGAAAAACAAATACGAAACCAAGAACTGGGAACTCCTTTCTTCTCCTTCTCTGCATTCTTCTTCTTGGTGGTGGTTCACTTTAAAGCACCAACTCCTGTCTTCTCCTTTTCTGCTTTCTTCTTCTTGGCGGTGGTTCACCTTAAAGCACCAACTCCTGTCTTCTCCTTTTCTGCTTTCTTCTTCTTGGTGGTGGTTCACCTTAAAGCACCAACTCCTGTCTTCTCCTTTTATGCATTCTTCTTCTTGGTGATGGTTCACCTTAAAGCACCAACTCCTGTCTTCTCCTTTTCTGCATTCTTCTTCTTGGTGGTGGTTCACCTTAAAGCACCAACTCCTGTCTTCTCCTTTTATGCATTCTTCTTCTTGGTGGTGGTTCACCTTAAAGCACCAACTCCTGTCTTCTCCTTTTCTGCATTCTTCTTCTTGGTGGTGCTTCACCTTAAAGCACCAACTCCTGTCTTCTCCTTTTCTGCTTTCTTCTTCTTGGTGGTGGTTCACCTTAAACACCAACTCTTTCTTCTCGTTTTCTGCTTTCTTCTTCTTGGCGGTGGTTCACCTTAAAGCACCAACTCCTGTCTTCTCCTTTTCTGCTTTCTTCTTCTTGGTGGTGGTTCACCTTAAAGCACCAACTCCTGTCTTCTCCTTTTCTGCATTCTTCTTCTTGGTGGTGGTTCACCTTAAAGCACCAACTCCTGTCTTCTCCTTTTATGCATTCTTCTTCTTGGTGATGGTTCACCTTAAAGCACCAACTCCTGTCTTCTCCTTTTCTGCTTTCTTCTTCTTGGTGGTGGTTCACCTTAAACACCAACTCTTTCTTCTCGTTTTCTGCATTTAATTCCTTTGCCTTCCTGTCCTTGCCTTTTCTTCCCAGGCAGCCAGAACCCTTGCTGCCAGAAACTTCTGCATCCTTCTTCTTCTTCTTGGTGGCTTGTGGCTGTAAAACCAGACAAGGGATTCGATGGACAACAGAAAAGACAAAACAGGAAAAGACAGCAGAACAGCTTGAAAAGAACAACAAGAAAGAAAAGACAGAAAAGAAGGAACAGAGAATAGTAAGCATGGAAAGAAAAGCCTTGGTTGGCAAGTAAAGTAATTTTTTTGGATGCCAAAAATTGAAACTGCCAGGCATGAAGCAGAACCTCAAGGTGGCACTGGTGTTGGCCTTTTCGGGCTGCACTTTCGTTTCTGCTGCGGTACCCTGTACTCCAGGGCTGGTGAGGCAGTTCCCCGGGGTGGTGATAATGCCTCCCGTTGTCGGGCATCTTCCTGATGGCACCAAAACAGCGCAGAGGAATGGCCAAGGCCAAGGCCAAGGCCAAGGCCAACAATGCAAAGCCTGGTGAGGAAGAGCCTGAAGGTGTTGAAGTTGTGAGGTGCATCAGCGAAGGAGCAAACGGTTGTTGAGATGCCAATGAAATGACATGAAAGAATCGCTGCACAACTGCATGAATGAAGCAATGAAGCAATGAAGCAATGAACCGATGAACCGGTGAATGAATTCAATGAGCCCATGAAACAATGAAGCAACAAATTAATGAATCAATGGTTCAACGACTGAATGAGCCAGTGAAGCAATGAGTCAGTGAATCAACGAATCAATGGTTGAACGACCCAGTGAGTCAATGAACCAACGAATTAATGAAGCAGTGAATCACTGAATCAAGGAGTCAATGAGTCATTGGATCAAGGATTCGAAGATTCAATGATTCAATGAATCATCAATGACTCAGTGTTTCAATGAATCAGTGCACCAATGAATCAGCGAATCATGGGATCGATGAATCAAGGAATCGATGAAGCAGTAACGAATCAATGACCCAATGGTTCAACGATAATGAATCAGTGAATCAACGAATCAATGGTTCAACGCTTCAGTGAGTCAATGAGTCAATGATTCAATCAGTCAATGAATCAGTGAGTCAACGAATCAATCAACGAATGAATGAGTGATTCTCGTCCGAATCCGGGAAAAGGAATTTAGAGAAGACCTCATATGATGTACTGCAAGGAAAGCTTCACAATTGTGGGGTGACGCTCAAGTTAGTCATTTCCACACCCCCATTGCAGTCACCACGACTCTTAAGCGTCGCCGTCCCGTGTCGTTTTTGTTTCGTCCGAGGTATTCGAAACGTGCCTTTGTCCATCACTATGTCGGCGAGGGCATGGAAGAGGGTGAGTTCTCCGAAGCTCGTGAGGACTTGGCGGCCCTCGAGCGCCTTGGAGAAGTCTTTAAAAACATTTCGGCTGGACAGCACATGTCTACCATGTAAATATGCATATATACATACACACACACATACATACATACATACATACATACATACATACATACATACATACATACATACATACATACATACATACATACATACATACATAATACATACATACATACATACATACATACATACATACATACATACATACATACATACATACATACATACATACATACATACATACATACATACATACATATATAAATATATGCATAAATATATATATATATGTTTACATAGATATATATATATATATGTACACGCATTTTTTACATATATGCATAAACACAGATATATATATATATATATGTACACATATACATACATATATTTTCATATTTATATATATATATACATACATATATTTTCATATATCTAGAATTATACATACATATATTTTCATATATCTTTAAATATATATATATTTATTAATTATATATTTATATATTTATATATTTATATATTTATGTATTCATATATTTATGTATTTATATATTTATATATTTTTGTTTATATATATATATTATATTTTTTATGTTTATATACACAGATATATACATATATATATATATATACATATATATATATATTTACATATATATATATATACACACACACACACATATATATATACACATGTTTATATACAGATACGTAGAAGCAATTGTACACTCAGATCAAAAACCGTATTTGCAAACATATTCTGTCGTATTAGAACGATTATTATGTACATACACATGCATATGCACACACACATATATATATATATTTGGTATGTAAATGTATGTGCATGTGTACGCATATCTATACTTGTACCTATACGTAAATGACAAATGTGTATATGCAAACGTATATACAAGTGCATATGTAGCTGTACTTGTGTATGTCCCGGTACTTGCACAGGTACATGTTCGAAGGAAGTTTAGAAGTCATACTTCCGACAATATGGACAGATGAAAAAGCAGAGGTGGGAAGAGTCAGAGAAGAGAGGAGAAGAAGAAAGAAGATCAGAGAAGAGAAAGAGTCAGATTAAAGCAGATGCAGGTGTGCGAAAAGGTAGCAAAGTCGCGATCCACTGTCTTTTTCAATGATTTGTGGCTCTGGAGGGTCGAAAAGTAGGCTCGCTAAAGCGGCGGGTGCGGTGCCATCTGGCCAAATGAGAGGTAAACAAATGCACGCCGTTCTGGCGCGAAGCACATTTCGAAGTCAAAATGCAAAGCACCACATGTCCGGAGCACTTTTCGAAGAAAAAGTGCACGCCATTGTGGCGCGATGCACATTTGGAAGTCAGGAGCGCTTTTAGGAAATGAGATGTTTAAAAAGTGCACGTCGTTGTGGTGCGAAGCACATTTCGAAGTCAAAATGCGCAAAACGCCTCAGTGTCGGAACACTTTTGGCAGCTGAGATGTTCAAAAAGTGCACGCCGTTATGGCGCGAAGAGCGCGTTTGGAGGTGAACATGCTAAAGACAACGTTGCAACGTGTTTTGTGTGGCAGGAGCAAGGGATTCTGCACTGAGCAAAACGTGGCAGGCGTGGGACATCATTTGTAGAGGATCTGCAAAGATGCATTTCGCGTGGCAGGCGCGGTACAAGAGGCACATGAGCAAGACATGTTAGGAGGCCCAGGCGCTGATTTCCTGAGAAGGGCTGCATTTTTGAGCATCAGATCTTCTTGTTTGCTAAGATGATTTTGCGTGACAGGTGCAGCGCTTCGTGTGGCCTGGCCTCACTTTTTCGTGGCAGGCGCAGCACTTTAGAGACATGGACTGGAAAAATCGCAAAGCGTATTGGTACGAGGCCGTCAGCTCTGCACTCAACTTTCCATTTTTGAAGGAAGTCTCACAGAATTGCTTCGTTTTTGATGCTGTCAACACTGTCAACTTGGAAAATTGAGGACGTCTCGCAGAATTGCTGCGTTTTTGATGTTGCCCAGGTCAAGGATTGAAGAAGTCATGCAGTTTTCAAGCTTGCAGATAGACAGATAGATGGATAGACAGAAAGATAGATAGACAGACACATAGATAGACAGATAGAGAGATACACAGATAGACATGATAGACAGATAGATAGACAACTACAACTACGACTACATTACACTACGCTGCATTACAACTACAACTACAATTACCACTACACTACAATTACAACTTCCACTTCCACTTCCACTTCCACTTCAACTACACTACAGCTACAGATACAACTGCAACTGCCACTACCACTACAACTACAACTACCACTACCACTACCACCACAGCTACAACTATAACTTCAACTACAAACTACAACTACCACCACAACTACACCTACACTAGAATTACAACTACCACTACACTACACCACAGCTACAATTCCAAGTACAACTAGACTACAGCTACACTACAGCTACAACTACAACCACAACAACTACTACACTACACTACTCTACGCTACAACTACGATTGCAACTGTAACTGCAACTACACCTACACTGCCAACACTACAACTACAGCTACAGCTAGAGCTACAGCTACCACTACACTACAACTACAACTACCATTACACTACAACTACAACTACAACTACAAACTACACCACACCACACCACACTACATTCAGCAGTTGGGGATGATGCGGCCATGGCAACAACTCCAAAAACACAACTCCAACCACCTTTCGGTCCATGAGTGGATTCGCTCTGCCATCCATGCATCACAGCAACTCACCTCTCCTATAGTTTTCTATCTTTGAAACTTTAGCCGCCGCCTTGTGCGGTACTATTGTTAATGTATTTGTAAACGCGTATGACTGAAACATGTAACTGTACATGTGTATGATTGTAAATGCATGTGCACGTATGCGTGTACGTGAAGACGTATATGTAAGTGTAAATTAAATCAAATTTACATGCACATGTAGATGTAAATGCGGATGCATATACAGGTGTAAACTTGTAGATTCCAGTTGTACATGTACACAGATATTTTTCCGCATGCGAACGAAATCTGCATAGGTATACAAAGATTCGGAGATATGTTTTTGTGTTTTGGCAACTAAAAAATGCAAATTTAATTGTGACTTGCTATCCACTTCACTGCAACATTACACTGCATCAATTTTCGTCGGTTGATGCTCCCAAAATGTTTTTCAAGTGTTTTGTGTATTCCATATTAAAACCCATTTCGGTTGATATTTTGGTTGTCACTGGTAACATGTTCTTTAATCAAGGGGCACGAACATTCTATGCCCCTTGATTGAGGAAAGATTACGAAGAGGTCGGCATCGAAACCGCTGAAGGCTGGGTGTTTTTCCCACTGTTCGATGGTTTTCAATGCCAACATTGTTTGTTTCAAGTGGTTCATTGCAAACCATGTTTTTGTTTCAAATTCCAAGAAAAAACAACTCATTTTTTTCACGGTTTTCAGGTGGTTTTTGTTTTGAAAGTGGTTCATTTTTATAATTGGTAGTCCCGTTCAATACTAAGTACACTCCATGATTGGGTCCTCAACATGAAAACATACAAAATTAAACCACTGGTTTCTGGGATATTTGATGTTAGAGGAAGGGGATTGCCTTTTCGGTTGTGTCCTTGCACTTGATGATTGAAAACGCAAATTAAACGCATTTTGTGCGAGGCGAAGGCGAAGAAGAATGCTATGGCGACGAGTTCTAAACCACAGGTGAAATCCACTTGTGATATATTCAGGAACATGAGCGTGCGCGCCACGCGCTCATGCAGCTGAGTTGTGTGCATGGAAAAAATGGGCCGTCTCGGATTGACATGGAATTTGGATGTAACGAATCAAACCACGTGATGAAGAAATCATGTGGATTTGAGTACCATGAAATCACAAATTTTTATTTTGTTGATGGTTGAATTGATTTTTCGGATTGGTCACAATTTTTTTTGGGTTTAAATCTTCGTTGATCCCAATTTTTTGTTGCCAAGTCGACCACTTCTTGGCTAAAAATCAATTTGGGTTGGTCAAATCCCTATTTTTACCAGGTTAGAATGCCAAAATCATCCAAAATCATGGTTGAATCTCAAACTTCACCAAGCAGAATTCCCCAAGTCATGCTAAATCCCCTCCATGTCTTCTGGGTGTTTTGTTGTTCAACTTTTTACTGGATTCGACATCCCCAAAAGCATGGTGGATCCCGATTTTGATTCGTTTTAACTTTCCATTTTGCTCCATCCAGGTTAAAAATTGCAAACACTACTGTAAAATGCAAATGTTCGATTTGCAGATGGATTTCTCTGAAAACCCTTTGGGTCCCCATCCTGTGGTTCAAAACCAGTCTTCCCCATGAAGGGCCATAGAAAATAGGATACCCCGTAGTTTGATTTTTTGATCTTAATTTTCCCTAAGTAAAACTGGTTAAATCGCCATTTTTTGATCTAAAAAACCTCAGTTATTGTGAATCCAGCCCTTATGGTTGGTTTAATCTCAATCTCCATTTCACGGTAAAAAATGAGATACACTCATCGTTTTGGGGTAGAGAACTGAGAACGAAAGAGCACACTGATTTGATATAAATCGTTGTATAAGAACTTTATATATATAAATGTACATTATATATATATATATGTCATAGTTGTGTCACACCAATTTTGATTAAACAATTGTATATTAAGCATCATTAAGGCAAGAATGTAGTATTTCGGCATTGGTTTAGTCATGAAAAAATACTGGGACAATCAATGGGATAAATAGTGGTTCAATGGGGTTTCGATCGAAATATAGTATAATTATAGAAACATAATTGGGAAATATAATTTAGCTTTTTTTAAAGCCTCGTAAACAATGCTTTTATAGCTCCAAGAGACGCGGTGAACGTAGGGGGTACGAGTGGTTAACGGACGTGGTGACGAACGTAAGGCGAACGAGTGAACGGACGAGTGCACGTGTGAGCGAACGAGTGAACGGACGTGTGCGTACAAGTGGACGGACGTGTGCCCGTACATGCGTGCGTTTGCACGTTCACTGGCCGCGCACGCGCACGTACGAAAATAAGGTCGACTGGAGTCGACCTTATTTCTGTATGTGCAAAGCGCTACAATACCAAATCACTCTAAAAAGGTAGAGAAAGGCAGGGTCGTGCAAAAATAAGGTCGACTCAAGTCGACCTTATTTTCGTACGTGCGTGCGTGCGTGGCGAGTGACCGTGCAAACGCACGGACGTACGCTCACATTTCGCTCGCAGGTACGCTCACTCGTACATACATACGTTCGCACGTACGTTCACTCGCACGCATGCCGTTCACACACACACGTTCATACCCCCGTTCATGTCACTCGTCACTACACGTACGCTAGATAACAAAAATATGTTTACGAGACTTTAAAAAAGCAAAAATAGAATAATTAATATGTTGGATTGGGAAATATAATCTTTGGGTAATTGTGGAATATGGAAATATGGAGAAATTACAATAAGCCAATAACAATTAATTGGGAATCATATTCACTGTAATATTATATCAATTTAATCAGTGGATGGTTTAATCATACTACTTTTTTGAATTAAACCAACTATTGTAGTACTGTATTATCAATATCCCGATTATTCTTTTATCAATAATTGGTAATTTCCATTAGTATCGCTCATAGAATAAAATAGTTGACAATAGTGGTTGATTCTATAATTCACCAAGCCCATTAATTTAGTAAATTAACATGTTAATTAAATGAGAGTTATTTAGCCACTGTTAACCATTATGAACCATTATTAACCACTAGTAATTTACCAAGCGCTTTAATTTCATAAACACTTTCCCACAATCATAGATTATTCATTCTTAACAATGATTAACCATGATTAAGCATTGTTATACCTAATAGCCACTATTATTATACCATTATTATAGCTACCATTGTGATAATGATGATGGTTGAATTTCCCCCAAGTCGTCCCTCCATTCCACTGGCCGAGGCCCGAAGCCGAAGCAAAGCGCGAAGCGCCGGCCGTGGCGCCCGTCGCGCTGGCAGCGCCGGTGGCAGCGCCGGTGTCGGCGTCGGTTTCGGTGGTACAGGAGTGGTGATGATCTGGGCTGATTCTGGGTGCGTCCTCCAGGTACTGTACTATATATTGTATCCACATATATATATATATATATATATACATAATATATATATATATAATATATATATACACATCTATTTATATACACATGATCATGATATGTGTATAAATCTGGTACATATATGTACATGAATGTGTACGCCCTAGGGGCTGTCTCCAAAATGGATCCCGACAGAGCCGCATGGATTCGAAGCTTCTGGTGATAGCCATGGGAAATGCTTTGTTTATGATGGATATGATGCTATAACAACCAACAAAAATAGGGAGTTTTACCAGCAATTTTGTGGGATATAATGGGATAGTATGATATAATATGGATAATAGGATTTCAATGGGAGATCTCCAGGATCCAATACATGGAGGTACGTTAGTACCATATGTTTGGCCATATTTTCTGGTGATATTCACTAAAAAATAGGCCTGAACAATAGGCCTTATATATGGTAGGTACCTCCATTTTAGGATCCTGAAGATCTCCCATTGATGATTTATTCATTTTAAATGGTGGTTTTCCATAGCTAAGTGAAATTCCCCAGGGCATTTCAGTTCAAGTTCACCAAGCCACTTGGAATGCCATTCTTCTATCATGTCATGATGGAAATCCCGATAGGTCAGCGGAGACCGCCCTATTCACCCTCCAAGACAGCAACTTAGAAGTGTGGCTGGAACATTGGAATTTTGTGGGGTTACTAACCTACCAAAATGGTTGTTTTATGGGATTTAATGGCTGGTTGGTGGTTTGGAACTGGATTATGACTTTCCATTCAGTAATGTCATCATCCCAACGGACGAACTCACTCCATCCATGATTTTTCGGGGTGTTGAAAAACCACCAACCAAATATTAACCACCATTATATAACTACCATTAACCACCATTAACCAAGCATTAACCACCATTAATCAACCATTAACCAACCTTGCAGAAGTGTGGTCGATGCGTTCATGGCACGGCCCAACTGACTCAATTCCAGGCTCCAGAGAATTCCACTGAAGATGTGAGGCGTGGCGGGGTTGGTGGTGTGCTAGCGATGCTGTGCCAAGGTGGACGTCAACCACAATACTGCACGATACCCTCTGGTAATTTAACATAGCAATGGAAAATCACCATTTTTAATGGGAAAACTCACGAACTAAATGGCCATTTTCAATAGCTATGTTAAATTACCAGAGGGTAGTCTTTAATGGTCTCGATCCTGCCAACCCTGTCACCAACATCAGGATGTCTGGACAAGAAATGCAAGAAATGCAAGAAATGCAAGAAATGCAAGAAATGCAGGTTCCAGAGCCCGCACCCGCAGCGTGGCCGCTCACACGACACTCCGTCGTGTGCCAGGCGTCTTCAGTGCAGTTGAACGTGATTTTACCCAAGACAACTGGTCAATATGCAGAGGGACAGGCAGTCAATTCAGTTTCTTTTTCATTGATGCTGGACATGGCAATGATGCTTTGGAATCGGATGGAGACAGATGAGCGAGAGTACACCAGTCGGTGGCTGCTTTTGCTAACCTTTTTGGAAGAGGTGGCTGACGCCAAGAGATACCACCCATGCCCCTTTTTGTGCCGCTGTTTTTTGCAGGTGCTTCCCTGTTGAGCATCATGCGTTTTTGCTGCGGTGGATATGTGTGGATGTTTTTGTGGCCCACCCCACAATCTACTTCCGCTTGCGATCCGCGCGATGATCCTCCAAGTAGTTTGGCTCCATCCCTAGCTGGAATGATGATCAAATTTGTCGTGGCTTCTGGGATGGGATGTGAAACGAAAGTCTCCTCAGACCATTTTTTGTGGCGAATGGGACATCAACTCCCGTAGGCACAGGGTGGATACAGTATGGGTATAAATCAACGTTGCATACGCCAGAATTGCATTGTCAAGACTGAAAAGAACCAAAACTGTGCACAGTGCATAGGCTGGACCTTAATTTTTGCCCCATAGGCATACAGGCATGGTTTCAAAACCTATGTTTTCGTGTTTTTTTGAGGGGGAACATCCATTTACCAGCTGGTTTGATGTCCAGCAGGGCTCCAGACCCATAGCTTTCACAGACTCGAAGATGACGACCCCTTCAATGAAGAAAACAAACGATTATGACGTGACCTCCCTGCAATCAGCTTGCATAGTATAGATGGAAGATGTCGGATGTGTATCCCACATAGAAACTGGTTTATAACAATATATATATATATACACATACAAACGTATTTATAGAACTGGGGAGCAGGGATTCACCTCCAGGACCACAATAATTGCGGTTTTTAGCGGTCCCATTTGAGGAGTCCAGTTGAGCAGTGGCTGCTAAAGCCTGGTTGGTTGATGATTATGATAGGGGATTATATATAGTGAATATGAATGGGATATTAATGTAACTGATGAATGGGGTATTGGCCATGAACATATGGGGATATTAGTGAAACTTTGATTATATTAATTTAAATATGAGATTTAAACCATGAGATTTCAAAATTCAAAATTCAAAATAATGGTTGTTAAAAACCAGGGTTTATATTACTCCTTGGATATTAACCATGAAAATATGAGGATATTAGTGAATATTAATGTAACTATATATGACTGATAAATGATGGTTGATTGATGGTTATAATAGGGGATTATACTACCCAATATATTGGGGATTCCAATAATCCAAGAGCGGGGAATCCCGTTTTTAACCAACCAATA